CTATAATAGATTTGCTAAAGCTCTCCAGGAATCGTGCACCTGAGTTACATGTGCAAACTAACACAGGTGCCTTGTATGTACCAGGCTTTTGTGGATAATTTTCCAGTTAACAACCATGAGAAATGGACTTGGAAATGCTTAAGGAAGGGGCTGTGCCTGGGGCTTTCCTTGGAAACCACAATGTAGCCTTCTGTTTCTGAGGAGGGTGAGTCAAAGCTTGAGAGTACCTGTTCAGGAATTGCTGGAAGGGCTTTTCTGGGATGGGGATTCTAGACTAGTGCTAAATGGGAAAACCATTTGTTAAGTACTTTCTCTGTGCTATACACTGTACTAGACACTAAGGGTACAAATATAAAAGTGACAGTCCTTGACCTCAAGAAGCTTACATTTTAGTAAGAGGAGACATCATGGCTAGAGAAATTGTGGCCAGGGAATTGACTTTTGATTTAAAGAGTTACAAGGATCATGAGTGGGCAGACAGCCAGACTGTCATGCTCATTCTAATTGCAATTGAAATATTGATTTCATTATTGTTCCCAAAACAAGACATGAACAGAGATCATGATAGGTCCTCCCTGGTTTCTTGTGGATGCAAGAATTAAGTAGGAAACATACTCTGGAGCAGTTTAGATATAATGGCTTGGGTGAGCCTGCAGGATAGCTCAGTCCTAGAGTGAGTTCCAAAACTGAGTTTATACTGACTTAGTCTTTGGAGGTCAAATAGAAAGATCGCTTTTCTAGGTGTGAAGACATGAGGTAGAAGCAACATAGATGGCAAAGGGCCTGGATAGGCTCTGGAGGGCTGAATGAGATGTGAAATATAGTCTAGGGCAGGCTGGCTGTAAAAATAATGTCCTCCATTGAGCAAAGTGATCCTCACTAGGCCTTGAACTTTACGAAGCATCTCTTAAAGGATTGCTAAAGAAACAACTGTGGCTAGACTTACATTTTGAGAGATCTATATTCAAATCCTACCTCTGAGACTTAGCAGTTGCATAATCTCTCAGACCTTCACTTTCCACATCTTTAAAATGGGAGAAGATAATATTTCTAGTACCTACCTCTCAAGATTGTTGTGAGAATCAAACAATAAACATTACCTATAATGCACACTCAGGTATAGAAATCTATTTTACCTGACTGGGAAATAGGAAGAGAAGAAGATGAGAAAAAGAATGGGGTGGGGAGTGATAAAAAGGAGGGTGGATTAAGGGAGGCAATAGTCAGAAGCAAAATGAATGTTTGAGGAGAGACAGGATAAAAAGAGAGAGAAAGATAAACAGAAGAAAATAAGATGGAGGAAAATAGACTCACAACTGTGAATGTGAATGTGATAGACATGTATAAAATGGAAACAGATAGCAGAATGGATTAGAAACCAGAATCCAACAATGTTGGGTACAAGAGACACACTTAAAACAAAAAGAGACATGTACAGAGTTAAAATAAAGGGCTCAAGCAGAATGTATTATGCTCCAGCTGAAGTAAAAAAAGCAAAGGTAGCAATCATAATCTCAGAGAAAGGAAAAGTGAAAATAGATCTAATTAAAAGAGATAAGAAGGGAAACTACATTTTACTAGAAGGTACCATAGGCAATGAAGTAATATCAAAAATTTTTTACAGCAAGTTTTGCTGAGAAAGGCCTCATTTCTCAAATAATAGGGAATTGAATCAAATTTATAAAAATAAGAGCCATTGTCCAATTGATAAATAGTCAAAGGATATAAGCAGACAATTTTCAGAAGAAGAAATCAAAACTATCTATAGTCATATGAAAAAAAAATGCTTTGAATCACTATTGATTAGAGAAATGCAAATTAAACCAACTCATACCTATCAGAAATGATAAATGCTGGTGGAGATGAGGGAAAATGAATACACTAATGAATTGTTGGTGGAGTTGTGAACTGATCCAACCATTCTGGAGAAGAACTTGAAACTATGCTGAAAGGACGTATAAAACTGTGCATACCCTTTGATCCAGGAATACTGCTACCAGGTCTATAACTCAGAGATCAAAAAGGGAAAGGACCTATATGCACAAAAATATAGCAGCTCTTTTTGCAGTGACAAAGAATTGGAAATTAAGGGGGATGCTTAACTAGGGAATGACTAAACAAGTTGTGACACAGGATTGCAATGGGAATACTGTTATGCTATAAGAAATGATGAGGGGATGGCTTCAGAAAAAACATAGCAAGACCTATATGATCTGATGAAAAGTGAAGTGAGAGGAACTGGGAGATCATTTTACACAGTAAAAGCAAAATTATAATGATTATCAACTGTGAAAGACTTGGCCACCCTGGTGAGTACAATGATTCAAGACGATTCCAAAAGACTCATGATGAAAAAATATCATCCACCTCCAGTGAAAGAAGTGATGACCTCTGAGTGCAAACTGAAGTATAATTTTCTCACTTTATTTTTCTTGCTTTTATTTTGCCATGTGGCTATTATGGAAACGTGTTTTGCGTGATTTCAGATGTGTAATTGATATCATATAGCTTGACTTCTCAGTGCGGGTGGAGGGAAAGAGAGGCAGAGAATTTGAAACTCAATTTTTTAAAAAGAATGTTAAAAATAAATAATAAATTTAAGGAAAAAACCATCTAATTTATCCTGACGTACAGGATAAATAGGAATCGAGATACGTATGCAAAGTGTTTTTTCATATTTTAAATGACTGTATACATGTTGGCTATTATTATTATCCCCTTGCTATTAGGGGGTAAATAGTGACTGGAGTGAAGCAGGGAGGAGTAGCTGGTACTGAGTCCTCAAAGTCCATATTCATACAATCATCCTTGATTCTCACACACACACACACACACACACACACACACACACACACACACGCACACAGAGTCAGGTATTGCTTTTTAATTTATTTTTTCTTCAATGCTGCCTTGGATATTAATTTTCACATCATTTCAAGGTATACACATATTAGGGATGAAGAAGCCATTCTGTGTTTTGCCTCTAGGCCCTAAACAGCCCCAGGGCAGCCCTGCTTGGTAGTAAGGGACAAAGATTAAGAAGAAGGAACCAGTAGTAATACAGAGATGGCCCTGGGGTGAGAACAGAATGCTAAAGTGGGAAACATCACTTCCAAGACAAACATTACCCACTTCTTAATTTTGCCAGAGGTCAACCTTGCTTTAGAAAATATTGTTCCATAGCTTTATAATAAACAGGCTGTGATCTATGGGTCAGAGATATAGGCCAGAGGTAAGGGCTTGTTATCAATAAAGGTCTCCAGCAGTAATTTTTAATTTATTGAGAGGATATGAGCTAGGGCTGATAAATCATGGCACATAAAAATCCAACCCTGTACCTGCTGAATGTGTATTGCATTTTGAAGATGAGGCTATGGAGAAACAGCACGTCAGTCAGCCTCAGAAATCGAGGATTCTGAGATTGTCTAACGTTGTCATTACAACTGCTGGTGAGGTGCACAGGTGCCTATTTACAGATCTGTTTGAAAAAAAAAAAGATGTAAAAACTCAGGACCTAAGCCAGACACACACATCATTATGTTTTCTGAGAAGCCCTGGAATGAGGCTTTGTAACGTAGAGCGCTTTATTTCCAAAGTAAAAGAATCTCTTACGCCACAACTTGATTTCATAAAGTAGGACTGGGCAGCCTCGATGCTCCAGAGAAAGTGCTTTGATGGACCTCTTGCTATCATGCCCTTCCTTCTCCCTCCCTCCTCACCTTCAAATGCCCTTTATCAATCCAATTTCATTATATGTAAAAGTAGTCCACCAACCTTAGAAAGGTATACTGAATATCAGAGAGTACTGGGCCAAAATATTTATAGGGCAAGGGACTATGGATCAGGAAGGCTACTCAGAGAAGTATGGTCAAAAAGAATCTGTTAACTTGAACAAATCTACGATGCATCCCTGTATAAACTATGCTTTAGGTCTTTAAAAAATAACTCTCCTCACATCTGCTTCTAAAAGATACTAAGCATCATTACTGCATCTGGTAGATTCTTTATTAAGGAATAAGAAGAAACATATCTTAATCTGCTTTTCAATGCTTAGGCCCCTAAAAAAAATAAGTAAAACTCAAAAAAGGGGGATGAATAAAACATAACCTCTGAGAAGGTGTGTAATGTAATAGAGATGACACTGGACTTGGAAAAGCTAAAAAAGACCCGGGTTCAAATCCCACCTCAGACTTTTAGCTTGACCTAGGGCAAGTTGTTGGGGGGAGAGGGGAGAAGAAGGCAGTGAGGGGGCATTTATTAAGCACCTATTATTGCCAGGCATTCCAATAAGTGCTGTTTTTTCTTTTATAAATATCTCATTTGATCCTCTGAACAAGCCTGCAAGGGAAGTGCTGTTATCAGTCTTATTTTGCAGTTGAGGAAACTGAGGTGATCGGAGGTTAAGTGACTTGCTTTGGGTCACACATCTACTAAGTGTCTGAAGTTGGATTTGAGCTCAGGTTTTCCTGGGGCTCTGTCCACTGCCCCACCAGTGATGTCAGTTTCGGTTTAACTCAGGTTAATTTCTATAGGGGGAGGCTCTTGACTGGAACACCGAATTGATCTGGGAGTTCTGAGAGGCAGAGCTGAGGAAAGGACATTCCAGGAAGAGAGAGACATGGGCAAAGGCATGTTTTGGAGATGGAATGTTATGGCCCAGTAAATGGGCCAAGTTGGCTACAGTATAGAGTGTGCCGGGCAAAGTAATATGGAAATCTGTGTGGAAAGACAAGCTAGAGTGAGACTGGGAAGGGCTTTAAATGCCAGAGGAATTTTGTAGTTTATCATAGAGGCAATAAGGTTTTTCTTTCCATGTTTCTTTCGAGGGAATATATGAGTACCTTCCTTTTAAAGCCCCAAGGAAAATTGACGCGCTGGGTTCTTTATGGGATTGTATAGTATTGTGTTAAAGGTCCTGCTTATGAAAGATTACTATCCAAATAAAAGCCGACTGCCCTGGTTAAACATCCATTTCCTTTTTTGCCCCTCCCTTTCTGTAGGATGGATTTATCGACTTTTTAGAGTTTATTGCTGCCGTAAATTTGGTTATACAAGGGAAAATAGACCAGAAACTGAAGTGGTATTTTAAGCTCTATGATGCCGATGGAAATGGATCTATTGACAGAAAGGAACTACTGAACATCTTCATGGTAAGGCTGTAAATGTTCTGTATTCTGGTGGTATGGGACATTATATAGCAAGTCAGATTTTCCCACCCGATGGAATCAATGATGTTTCAGGGCGTCCTCCCAGGCAGTTTGGTCTTACATAAATGAACATTCTGAGTTGAGGGAGACAGCGCTTGCCAAAGCCACCAGAGGGTACCAGGCATTTGCAACTGCAAATCTGTATTTTAACACTGGAGTCCATTCCAACCTTCACTAATAGAGCATAGAATTTTCATCAACATCAAATAAATGAGCTGGCAAGAATTAACATTGGAGGGAGTCCCTAGGACTGACGTAAATGAAGACAGAGTGGGCAGTTGCCTATATGGTCGAATTAGAAGAATACCCAAGAAAGGTTGCCCTGCTCCAAAATTCCTCCTTCTCAGATAGGTTTCATTGCTTGAAATAGCTTTCCTCAGGGCTGCTGCATGGAAGATAGTTTTTATAATTCAATTAAACAAACATTTATGAAATGTCTTATATGCACAAAGTATGTTTTAATTAAATTTTACTTTTTTCAATTAATAAAAATTATTTTCTCTCCCTCCACAATAGGAGAAAAATAAAAGATAGCAAAGACAAAGCCCCTGTAACAAATGTGCAGAGTCAAGCAAAATATGTCAAAATTCTATTTTCTCATTCTGTACCCTGAGTCCAACATCTCTCTGTCAGGAGGGAAGTGAAATTCTCCATCATTGGTCCTCTAAAATTGTATTTGATTATTGCATTGATCAGTTCTTTAATCTTTCAAAGTTGTTTGTCCTTACAATGTTGCTGCTACTGTATGAATTGTTCTCCCTGGTTCTGTTCACTCTGCAACATGAATCTTGCCAGGTTTCTCTGAAACTGAACCTTCCATCATTTCTTATAACCCAATAGTATTCCGTTACATTTATATACCATAATTTGTTCAAACATTCCCCATTTGATGGACACCCTTCCCTTCTTATTTTCAAATTCTTGCAAATAACAGCCTAAGCTACTTGGGTTACAGAGACAAAAGCTAAAAAATTTCTGCTCTGAAAGGATTATGGACCTGTGATCTCATTAGTGTAGGGCAGAGGTGTCAAACAAGCAACACTCTCAAGTTAAGTCCAAATCAGATTAAAATGCTTAAAATGGGAAATATTTAACAAAATGAATAAATGTACAATATTATATAGACAATGCTAATACATCATTTCCTAAGTTGATATGCTGCCTGCATGGATCCTTGTGTATGGTTTAGTGCCCCCCACCCCCATTTCTATTGGATTTTTGCACCACTAGGATAGGGAACTCCCAGAAAGGAAAGTGCCTCTACCAATACAGATAAGCAACTGTTCTGCAACTTGTAGTCTTAGAGAGATGTCTAGGGGAATGAGAGGCTGTTGTCTTGACTTGGCCAATATGTGCTACAGTCAGAAATTTTAAACCCATATTTTCCTGGTTTCCAGGCCAGGTCTCTATCTGACACTCTTTGCTGTCACTAATTTAAATATACTATATCTTTAAGTCACTAATATAGATGAATATATGCATAAATGTATATGTATACATATGTGCATATATACATATATGTGTTATGTGTGTGTGTGTGTGTGTGTGTGTGTTATCTCCCAAACCAACTTTGCTACCTGGAAATGCACTCCAGAATTTTATCATCAGAAATATTGGGATGAAATGTTTGTCAACTCTGACTCTAACCCTCACCTTAACCCTAAATGCACACCTCCAACTCTTTTTGCCTCTGACCCTACAACTCTAACCCTGCGTAACCCAACCCTAACCCTAACCCGACTCTAACCCTAATCCTAATAAACATTTTTATTTTTGAAATGTGTTCTCTAATTGAAATATACTCTCAGCAACATTTCAAAGGATGCCTGTATGTTCAATAAGTGCCATATAAATAGGAAATATATTGTTGGCAGCCCTAATTAAAATTATTACATTTTTACGAAGATATAAGCACAAGATCATAGGATCCTACATCTAGAAAGAAGTTCAAATGTCATTAGTCCAACTCCTTCATTTGATAAATGAAGAAACTAAGGCCTAGGAAGTTTAAATTACTTGCCCATGTCTTATTTAACATGGTAATATGACAGGGGTGGAATTTGAACCCAGATCCTCTGAGTTTGAGCAAGTGTTCTTTCTACTATGCCATACTATCCCCCTATAGAGTATTGATAATGGCAATTCCAACTTCCCCTTGCCCAGTGATTTTTCCTTCCCTGTCCTAGAGACCTGAGGTCTATTATCCAGTGGACAGGGCATTGGGGAAGTGAAACAAGTCCTGCTATGTCTGGGCAATAGATGGAGGAAACAAGGTCTTGTTCCCATCTCTCACAAAATCTCCTTCTCCTATCTCTTTTCCCTCCTACACCCCAGATCCAATGACAAGGGGTAGGTGGAGGATTTGGGTCACATTGATTCATTACCAGCACTCTAGGATGCCTAAGAACCATTTTTTTGATTGGTGGGTATTAAGAGCTCCTAAGCAGGCTATACTCCACTCTTTGTCAACCAGAGCATGGAGGCAATTTGAGTTCCTGTCATCAGTTGTCATTTTAACATGTTTTTTTTCTATGTTTTGGGGACCTTGACTTAATACCTTCAATATTATTATGAAACAATACTGAACAGAGGATCTAAATTCAGGGTATGCCTCTACCTACATCAATGCTTTTCAGCTCATTCTTCAGCACCCTAGTAAAATTTTCAGAAGAGTCAGCATTGGTAATTCTAGGTCACAACCAAAAGAACAAGGTCCAGAATGAAGGACTTGGAGATAAAATGAAATTAACTAGGAAGTTACTAGTAACTTAGTAAGTAACTAACACCAGGGAAACAGCCAATGAACAAAGTAAGAAGTCATAGTTATAAGTAAAAAGATAATGCTAAGGAGGAGTTGAGAAACACACCATAAGCCACACAAAAGACTTGAATACAAGTCTAAGCTATTCTTGTGACTCTCTACATGAATTTGGACAATTTGGCTAATTTCTTCAGGTCTCAGTTTCTCCATATGCAAAATGAATTTATTAGACCAGAAAGCTAGGGCTAGAAGTGACCTATTTCCTTCCAGCTAATATTATATGAAATTCTTAACTTTTTTTTGAAACCATAGTTGTTCTTTATCCTCTGTCTCCTTTCAAGTAGTCATAGGCCAGTAACTGGGTCTGTTGAGTGTGCTCCATCCAAGAGACCTAAATATAGATTCTTCCTATTGAATTCTACTTCACAGAGTAGTATCTTACTTCACAAGGTTGTTATGAAATTCAAGTAAGGCAATACACATAAAATGCTTTATAACGCTATTATATTTTATTATTGTTATTATTATTCTTTACTCTTTAAAGTCAATTTCAAATACTATCTCTTCTCTGAAGTTTTCCTGGTTACCTCAAGTTGGTAATGACTTACCCAATTACAATTTTTTTAAACTCTCTAATGCATTTTTCATGTAATGTGCATTACTGTTATCTGTGTTAGTGTCTATTAAATGGTAAATTCTAGGAAGGGAAGGAATTACTGTTAATAATTTGTTAATAACGCCTTTTCTTGAAAGGTAGCATGTTTCAATGGAAAGAGCTGAATTTGGAGTCGATGGACTTGGGTCTGAGATTTGGCTTCACAAATTACTACCTGTATAATCTCAGATAAATCACTTAATCTCTCCAGGCATAATTTTGCTCTCCTATAAAATGAGGAAGTTGGATTCAATGGGCCTCTGAGGCCACTTCCAATTCTAGATCTACAAGTTAAGCTTGGCATTTCTCCTAGAAACCTAACGAGGGTGGGACTGCCACAGCTTTGATCTAGGCTGGGGTGTAATAAGGCATTTTCTTCCCACAACAGTCTAAATATCCCTGTCATCGAGCTGTAAGCTTCAAGTTGACCCCATTCCCTGGTTTGGTCCACCTGTAGGAAACAGGAGAGGAATTCCAGGCCTTACAAGGGCAGATCTCTGGGCATAACTGAACCCACAATTGGATTCCCCTCTGCACTTGTGCTAACCCACCCCTGGCTTTTTTTTTGCAACAAGTGAAAAGCTTTCTAGTCACGACCTTGATCTATTCCATACCTCTTAGTAAATATTTGTTAAATAATTAAACTTCACCATCTTTAAGAATAAGGGGGAAAACAAGGAAAATCCCAATAGGAAGATCCTTGAGAGACCAATCTCATCTAATTGAGTATTAATCAGTGTAAGGAAGTTGAAAGGGGTGATAAAGATGGGACAAAAGCAATATTTTACGAGGGTAACATCAGCAATGATCTCAGAGTCCCTAATATCAAAGGTAACATATTAGAATATCTAACAAATGTATATATAACACCTCTTCCCTATTTGTGTTAATTGGGCAGAGACAGAAAGGCTTTGGAAGCTACAGATATGTAAGGGAAGCCAGCTGCTTAATAGGTCTCTGATTTCCTGCTTGCCTCCCTAGAGACTTTGGAAAGAGAATTTTCCTTTGGCCAAGATTGGGGTCTCCTCTTCGTTTAATTTCTAATTTTGCTCTCAGGCATAGAGATCACTCACGTGTGTATGTTTTCTGGCATAGTCTAATCTGCAGAATTTCTCCAATTTATAAGTGGGCTTAAGTATCTCTTGGTACATATGATGTTCTTTTCTATAAACTGATGTATAGTGTGTAAAGGACAAAGCCAGCTGCCATAAACTGAGAGCTACTCTTTCCCCTTACAGACTAGTGACCAGGGAAGCAGCTTTCGTTCGGAATCTATTGTACAGCTAAAACAACAATATTTAGGGGGGCAGATAAATATCGTTCTAGTCTAGAACCCCACTTAGAGACTGAAGAAAAGAGTGTCTAGCCATGTTCTTTCTCATGCACCTCTCAAAGAAGGAATCACAATCTCTCTTGAAGAGGAGTGGTCCACAATAGATATATCTATTCACTCCACCTCTGAGCTGCATTTGAGACAATCCCTAATTCCGTTTCTAGAGGCAGCTAGGTGGCACAGTGGATTGAGTGCCAGGCTGGAGTCAGGAAGATTGATTTTCCTGAGTTCAAATCTGGCCTCAGACACTTATTAACTGTGTGACTATGGGCAAATCACTTAACCCTGTTTGCCTCAGTTTCCTCATCTGTAAAATGATCTGGAGAAGGAAATGGAAAACCACTTCACTGTCTTTGCCAAGAACTCTCTAAATGGGATTATGAAAAGTCAGATGCGACTGACTGAAAAACAACTGAACAACACAATTCCATTTCTAATCCTAACTGTAACTTTAATCCTAATTCCATTTCTAACATTCCTCCCCCGGGGCGTATATTTGAGTTGATCGCATTTATTTCTGTTTACAGGCAATACAAGCCATCAATGGCCAAAACACCCTGAATGCTCAGGAATTCACCAACTTGGTATTTGAAAAGATTGATGTAAATAATGATGGTAAGTCAGTTGCTAGCCCTGAGATCATTTTTCTGATGGTCCATAAACGAGGGGATTTAGGGTTAGGAAATGATAAATGTATTTTTTAATTGCATGGTGATGAAAAGGGAAGTCAGCATTGATCACCGAACCACAGAATTTCAGAGTTTGAGAGTTGGAAAGCAATCATTTAGTACACCCCATAGCTGAAAGAATCCTCACTATAACATCTGTTATGTAACCTCTGTTCAAATACTTCCAATGAGGAGGACCTTTATTCCACTTTTTTCTTTTTTGAGAAATTTTCCCTAACCTCAAGCCTCAGTTTGCCTCTTTGAAATTTCCTCCATTGCTCCTGGGTCTAACCTCTGGGGCCAAACAAATCTAATCCATATTCCACATGATAGCCCTTAACAATTTGAAGACAGCTATCACACATCCTAGGGGAAGCTAGGTGGTGCAGTGGGTAGAGTACCAGACCTGGAATCACGATGGACCTGAGTTCAAATGTGGCCTCAGACACTTCCTAGCTGTGTGACCCTGGGCAAGTCACTTAACCCTGTTTTCCTCAGTTTCTTCATCTGTAAAATGAGCTGGAGAAGGAAATGGCAAACCATTCCAGAATCTTTGCCAAGAAGACCCCAAATGGGGTCACAAAGAGTCAAATACCTCTGAAACAAGTCATCAGCAACAACATCCCATCTCCTTAAGTCTACTTTTTCCAGGCTAAATATTCCTAGTTCTTTCACAGATTCTCATATGACACTAAACTCAAGAACTGAATATAATATTCTAGTGTGATCTCTCATTGGAGGAACTATCACCTCCTTATCTCTAAAAGTTATGCCTCTCAAGGCAGTCCACATTCTTTTTTTATGACTGCCATATTATATTGCTGGCTCATATTGGTTTGCAGACCACTAAGACCATCAGATTTTTTTAAATCAGATTTTGTGTTAGCTAATCTTTTATCAGGTTCCTTTTGCATGAAAAGTACTAAGCTAAGTGCTAAATGAAATATAAAGTTTAAATAGGCTACCAGCACAAAGGGCTAAAATACAAAATATCTGGTTAGTGAATTAAAGAGGTACACAAAAGGAGTAGGGCAAGCAGAGAAAAATGTCCTTATGAACTAGCGGGGAATCAGGAGGAGGAAGAAGTATTCCAGCGGAGCTTTAAGAACTGAGTAGGATTCAGTAGCAGAAGCTAGAGAGGGATGATGTACCAGGAATGAAGAACAGTGTGACGCAGCAGTTCACAGTGTATGGACCCCAAGACGCTTTCAGGGAATCAATAAGTCAAATCTATTTTCACGGTAATATTAAAACATTATTTCCCCATTAAAATATTCATACTTTTTCCAACTGCATATTTGTGTGAGGCAGGATTTTCTTCATATACTTGAATCCAAACAACATATTGCACAGATTGAATGCAGAAGCAGATATGAGAATCCAACTATTTTTTATTAAACCAGACATTAAGGAGATTTGCCAAAATATATTTTTAAAAGTCCTGTTCTTCTTACTATTTTTTAAAAATTATAATTTTTCATTAAAGCAGTATTAATAACATAATGGGTTTGTTATTTTTAATATAGTAATGAATAAGTATTTTTAAATTTATCAGTTTTAATTTCTAATGCTATAAATATAGATAAATGTAACCCATATAAAAAATCTCTTTGAAGTACTCAATAATTTTGAAGAATATAAGGAGTTCCTGAGACCAGAAAACTTGAGAACCTCTGGTGTAAAGATAGATGTTAGAGTGGGAAGGCACAGATTGTGTTCAGTAGAAAGAGTCCAATTTAACTGGAACATAGATTATGTGTATGGTGGGGGAAGGGGGCAGAAGCCCTATATTTTCCCATTCTTGATAAGGGTAATTCCATTTTAGAATAAGTTTGAATTTTAGTGCAATGGTTATGCCACTTAATAGCAATTATTTTAAAATTAAATTTTATTTTTTAATTAATAAAAATCTATTTTATCTTCTTCCCACCACCCCACCTATTAGAGAAGAAAATAAAAGTCAGACACTTAAAACAAATAACAGTCAAGCAAAACAAATTGCCACATTGTCCATGTTCAAAAGAATATACGCATATGTGCACACACACATACTTCTTATTCTGTACTGAGTCCATCACTTTCAGTACCTGGCACACAGTAGTCAATTAATAAATGCTAGTTGACTGTCAACAGGTGGGTAGAATGTTTCATCACGAGTCCTCTGAATTCACTTGTGTTGCTCTGAGTCAACTCAAAGTTTCATAGTTTCAGTGGGTACATGCTTTGGTTCTTCTAGGCACCTAGATAACATAGTGTATAAAGTACTCAGCTTGAAGTCAAGAAAACCTAGGTTTAAATTGGGCCTCAGATGTTTATTAGCCCTATGACCCTGGGTAAATCATGTAATCTGTCACAACCTCAGGTTTCTCCTCTATCAGATGAAGATAGCAATAGTATGGGACCCACAGGGTTGTTGCAAGGATCTATAGACTTTGCCAACCCATATAAATGTTTGGCTATTACCTTCTGTTATCTACTACCCCAGCCCTTGTGCATGGACACCCAAAAGACAAAGTCCTCTCTATCTCAGACCCCTGAAGCCAATGGCAGCCTGGAAGATTAGAAGTCTCTCTCTGCTCCCTTGGAACACAATAAATCACCCCCCAACAAGCAGTGACAGACCATTTGTAACTCATTTTAAATACCTTTGGGAAATGGCTGACATTCAGAAACCTATCAGCCTTATAGAATTTCCCCTTCTCTAGGGGCCAGCTCCCTGTCCTTTGGAAACTCCATGACACCACAAAGCCACTGTTGTGGGGGTTTGAGGAGAGAGAGGAGAGATGACAGACCCTTAATAAAAGGCTAATAGAGGGGTGAGGTAATGAGAGGAGCAGGTTTTCATTTTAACTCTTTGTGTTCATTGAGTAGGTACCAAGCTCTCATGTTCCTAATGCTTAGGACTGAAGGGCTGAAAATTCTGAAAATTAATTTTCATTGCACTGGGAAAAGTATTGGCTTCCCCATCTTAATTGCATCTTTACTAACACCCCCAGAATTCCTGGCAAGATAATTTGCAATGGGGTTTATATGGTTGAGGTCATTATATTCAAACAATTAATAATCTTATAATCAAACAAATAATATTCTTACAATCCAGACTTTCAGAGTCTTAAGGTACTGTTTATTCAGCAATTGACTTTAGCTTCTCTAATAGAGCTCAGTGACTCATATAAACACACTTATATTTAGAAATATCTTTATAAAATATATTTTGGGCAAGGAAATTACAATATTTTCTCTCCCATGAGCTATATAACAACAGTACCTGCCCCCACGGAATTGTTGTGAGGATCTATAGACTTTGCCAACCTATATAAATGTTTGGCTATTACTATCTGTTATCTGCTATTCCAGCCCTTGTGCATGGACACCCAAAAGACAAAATCTGTCTATACCTTTGTAGTTTTCAAACTGGAATCTATTTTCCAGTTAATTCTACTAATGAGATTATACTCCATTAGGTTAATATGTCCCTAACCCCCCTAACAACTACCTATGAAATTCCTGTCCCCAAAAACCACACAGAAGAGGAAGAGGAAGTATGAAACCATCCATAAGACCACTTGATTCCATTCAGATAAAGGCCAAAGCAATCATTAAATGAAGGGTAGTAAGTCATAATTCATAAATGTTCACATCTGGTGTAAATATTTACCATGAAGAAACAAAGTAAATGACTTTGACCTATGTGGAATGAGATCAGATGAACTGGTTGCACTTTAAAATTAAAGTGATCAATGATTCCCTAGTAAAACCAAGAACAACAGACTAGAGTAGAACTGGCGGTGTTGGATTCTCTCCTATGGGGCAGGGGGGAGGAAGACCTGGACGTCAATTAAGAATTATGACATCATTTCCAAGAGCTGGACCTGGAATCAGGAATCCCTTGAGTTCAAATCCAGTTGTGTGACTCTGGGCATGTTACTTCATCTCTGCCTCAGTTTCCTTATCTCTAAAATAGGGGTAATAATTATAACTCTTACCTCCCAGAGTTGTGAGGATAAAATGAGATGATATTTGTAAGGCACTTTGAAAACCTTAAAGTGTTTTTTGCCAGCTATAAGTGTGCAGAATCATAGAATTTAAACACAGAGTGGAATTTAGAGATCATCCAATACAATCTGCTCATTTTGCAGATGAAGGAACTATGGCCCAAAGAGGGTGACATGACTTGCCTAAAGTCACATAGGTAGTAATTGGAAAAATCTATGTTGTAGTCTCATATTCTTTCCACTTCATCATGCTCCCTTTCAGACTCAGTCTATTTAGCCCTGGAGAATGCATGCTAAACATAATGCAAATGAGTCATCTGATGCAATAATCAAAGGAAATAGTTTATGAAGAATTGAAAGAAGCATTATAGAAAAGGTCACTGCATTACAGCAGTGCACAGGGATTTCATGGTTGGTGGGCAGAAAGAAAGTAATCAAGAAATCTTTGTTGGCAAATGTGGAAGAGGACAGAAAGGAGTAAGATTGTTTAATGCCTCTGGGGGATCCAGTGGTAAATGCTGAGACCTTAATACACTTATCTCAAATTTCTGACTTTTCAAACTATAGAAACCATAGGTTTGAAAGGGAAATTTTGGTTTACCATCTAATTCGGATTTATTCTGCTAGCTAAGAAATTCAGAGGCACTTTCAAATTTACATTTTACCACTTCACATTTAAAACAGATTTTTTAACAAAATGTTTTATTAATATCTTTTGTTTTTGTAACATCATTTCCCACGTTGTGCTTCCCTTCTCTCCTCTAAGAGAACCATTCCTTATAACATAGGATTTTTAAAAAAAGAAAAGAGGAAAAAAGGAGAAAATAATTCCCAAAGATGATTAACATATCAAAAATCTAATGTTGTATATGCAGTGTTCCACAGGAAACCTGACTTCTGCAAAAAATAAAGGAAGATGTCTTCTCATATCCTGGTTTGTTTTTAAATAAGT